ATATCTTTGAGAACCCCAATCGGTGATAAATGTATTACGAGCACACTCAGGCAAGACAAGCACTAGACTTAATTGAGAGCTTACTTATTTGTTTAGGGGGTTCCTCGTTCAACGTATGTTACAAGCAAACATTATTACCTATATGTGCATTAATAAATTACGCATGTCAGGCTTTTGGTGCGGTTAAAATCTATGATTTTGTCGTCGTTTATTATTCCCTAGTAAATAAAGGTTTTCGTTGAATCAAAGAAATAACTTATATTTCGTAGTTAGATAGTTATTGCGAATTACTACGTCCTCTAGACCTACTTGGGACACAGACAATTGCATAGGATATTTAACAGGCACTAACACCACTACTTTTAAATTTGGAAATCATTTTGCGTATTCTTTTTTATAGGATAGGGTGACAAACGAGCACACAGTCCACCTGATAGTAAGTGGTTGCTGTGACCCATAGACATCTACATTTATCCTCAATAAAAAATCATAATGCAGATGCGTCGTCACCCGTGAGGACTAAGATGGAAAGCCTCTTTTCCAGTAAAATGGGTCTCCGGTTCTCTGCACTCACCATACGAAACCAAGCAGTGCCATTTTACGCTGGTATTCTGTGAGAGCGTGTTCCTTCCCCGGTCGAGCCGTCCCATTCGTGCTACAACTATACTACTAATATAGCTGCAGCATGGCTCTATATATATTAAAAAATAAGTGATTCAAAACTTTTAAATTTTTTTTGTCAACAGCTAGAGCTAGGCGAAGCCGGGTGAATTTCGCTGACAATACCTACTGGAAATTTCTTTAATAATTTAATTTAATAGAATAACGACAATGTAATTAGTAAAAATAATACATTTCTATTGGACTGTAAATAATTTAGTTGAATATCTATAAATATAAATAAAAAAGTCCTGCTAGGTTTCTTGCTGGTTCTTCCCAGGACAGAGGTATTTTCCGAACCAGTGGTAAATAAACAAGTGGTAAAATGTATTTTTGTCCATTATTTATTCTGTGGTACAACCGACTTCAATATAAATAATTTACTAATGATTTTTTAAAAACCGCTCCACCGATTTAAATAGGACCACCTGGGAAATATACCCTTTGAAAGAAAAAAAGAATTATCCGAATCGGTTCAGGCCTCTTCAGTAATCGGTGAACATACATAAGAAAATATTCCGACGAATTACGAACCTCCTCCTTTTTTAAGTCGGTTGAAAAATGACTTTCAATAAGTATTATGTACTTAATCCATATTGAATAAAAAATCATTCTATTCTATTCTTTCTAATATTGAAATAACTGGCTTCTACTAAACTGAAAGGGGTTATTTGCACGCTTAGAAGACAATTAACCATTTTAAAAAAGTCTTTAAATTATCGATTTAAAAAATTGAGAACAATACCAGGTGGGATATAGGGGATATATTTAATAAGTGGTGAAGTCATGCTGCAGCTATATATCTGGCATAGTTGTAACACGAATGGGTCGGCTCGACCGGGGAAGGACCGCGCTCTCGCTTAATACCAGCGTAAAATAGCTGCTAACGTTGCTGTGTTTCGTATGGTGAGTGTAGAGAACCGGAGACTTTTTTTACTGGAAACGAGGAATTCCATCTGGTCAATTCAACTTACCATCAGGTGGACTGTGTGCTCGTTTATCACCCTTATCCTAAAAAAACCATTTGTATGAGGTCTACAAATAATTGTTCCGGGTCCTAGATGAAAAAGGCTATATTTTATACGTTAAACATTTTTTTTGTAAAAACGTAAAATTTATGAAGTAAGATAATCAAAGACTGTTGATTATCTTAAATTTTAATGACGCTACATTATTACATCCTATCCAAGCGATGCCGGGTCGGGTCGTTAGTTCTAAATAAAACAAAAGCGAATAACTTCCTTAAATTGAATTTCTCTTTTCACATTAACGGGCACTGTATAAAGCCCTTAATTTTTTATTGTGTTACAATTTAAAAAAATCTTCTTAATGTATCACAATTACGTAGTTAGCTTTAAACTTTGCATTTACACAATTCAATTTAACGTTTGTACTGCACAACGTGTTTATTACGTGGTAGAGCCACGCTACAGCTATTTAATGGTTGTAGCATGAATGAGTCGACTCGACCGAGGAAGGACCATGCTCTCACAGAATATCAGTGTGAAATAGCAGTTTAATGCTACTGTGTTTCGCTTGATGAGTAAAGAGAACCGTAGACCCTATTTACTGGAAACGAGGCATTAGATGTTGATGTTACTGCGTCCTCCATAGTTTGTCATCCTTATTCTATATAAAAAAAAACAACAAAATGAAAGTAAAACTTCAGTAGTAACCTATGTATACTGCACAATTATTACCTGGTAGTGCCTCGCTACAAGCGTATTATGTTCGTTAAATAACAGTAGAATGTTACAGCGTGTAAGTAACAGGGTAAACGCGATCAGGGACGAGAACGCATCTACATTTTGACTAAACATCTGCATAATCATTAACAGACGCGTTTGTCACCCGTAGGTACATGTGAAAAAATTGCTAGGATTCGGATCCATAATCCACGTCTAAGCGCATAACGGAATAGGTTTGCTGCGTGTTTACAGTTTTAGTAGTTAACGACAATTAGATACCATATTAAGTAAAAATCTAAGACATTTTATAACCTAATAATTTTTCATATCTTAATATTAAAAAATTGTGAATAAAATATATTTATTTATAATTGATTGTTCTGGAGTTTTTACACTTAAAATGCCGTTCAAGCCTCATCAAGTCGACTCCATTCATTAATCTATCCATTACAGCCTACAAAAGTCCACTGCAGAACTTAGGCTGAGATCTATAGACCGTACTTTGACTTTGCTCAGACTTTACTTACGAAAAGCTTAGCTGAATATACGCTTGGCATAATACTTGGCTCTGAATTTATATTTTAACCTAATAATTTTTCATATCTTAATATTAAAAAATTGTGAATAAAATATATTTATTTATAATTGATTGTTCTGGAGTTTTTACACTTAAAATGCCGTTCAAGCCTCATCAAGTCGACTCCATTCATTAATCTATCCATTACAGCCTACAAAAGTCCACTGCAGAACTTAGGCTGAGATCTATAGACCGTACTTTGACTTTGCTCAGACTTTACTTACGAAAAGCTTAGCTGAATATACGCTTGGCATAATACTTGGCTCTGAATTTATATTTGCAAGCTTATGCTAAGACCCAAACAGTCAAAAAATTAATGGATGCTTTATTTCACCCATTATATTCTTGATTTTATTGCATAAAATTTATAACTTAAAATTGAAAAATTTGTACAGCCGACTTCAATATAAGTAATTAAGAATAACTCAAAAACTATTAGTCTAACCTTGATCAAATTCATAAGGGACCACACTAGAAGTATCAGCTTTCATATAAAAAAACAATCATCGAAATCGGTTCACCCAGTAAAAAGTTAACACACAAAAAAAACATACAGTCGAATTGAGTACCTTCTCCTTTTTGGAAGTCGGCAGAAAATATTATAATATATGTTTAAAAGTCCAAATTGTATTTTATAAATAAAATATTATTATATGAAATAGAAAACGGGCGTATGAGAATGGGAACGGAGAAGAGTGCAAAGTCAGAAAAAAATAGGTTTAAAATTACGTTAATAGAAAATGGATTAATGCTGTTTAAAACTAGAAGACGGCATAAAACTACTTATTTACTGTTATAAATAATTAGAGTAACATAAAAACAACAATTTCAAATTAATACGGTGGTTTCTGATAGCTCTATAAATACCGACATTGTCTTAGCTCGAAAGAAAAGTGTTAGCTCGAAAAGAAAGTCAAAGTACGGTCTATAGACCTCAGCCTTAGACTTCCCCCATAGATTGCCTTAAACTTATTACTTATAGAGGGATTTCGCAATAGTTGCCAGGCTTGACAAGCGGGTTGGCAACCGCAGTTTTTTTATTTTTAGTCGTTATTTCTCCGTGGTAGCTTAGGGTCTAAGCGCTCGCTGTAAATTTCACAATACGCGAGCAATCGGGGTACGATACCGACGGCACCAATGAAATTGTTAGTTGCAATTTTAAGTGCTCATTTACCACGTGTTCGACGGTGAGGGAATCATCGTGAGGAAACCTGCATGTCTGAGAAATAAGAAAAAATATTTCGAAGACATGTGAAGTTTGCCAACACGTATTGGGGCAGTGCGACGGACATTTCCTTGCCCTAAAACCCTCTCAGATATGAGAGGAGGCCTATGCCCAGCAGCGGGACGTATATAGGCTGTAACCTTAACTTTAAATGTTATTAGAAAGGTGCTGCCGTCCATCTCCTGATTTGTTTTCCTCTCGCCTCTGTAGGTGGTAGTCAAGTCAACTAATATTACGTAATTCAAACTGTGCATAAATATAAAAAATAATTTTACAAATTATATTACAATATTAAAAAACTTATCGTCACGTTTTTCTTCAAGGTTTCGCGAAACACATACCTCCTAACCTTGCATAATTGCAACCTCGATCATCAAGTTCGTTAATAGGAAGCACCCGCAGCGTCATCGTCTAAGGCGATAACAAGTCCCCTGGGTCCGATAACCGTGACTAATTGTCCATAGCTATCGCCGATGCGGGCCAGTTTCTTGCGGGCGGTAAAATATCGATCCACACCACCTGTTCGGTACGATGGGGGCCAGCGCACCTGCCCTCACAATACAAAGCGACGTCGACACGCGCGCACGGCAATACGTCCGCAGAACTTCGATCGGGCGCGGGGGGAACTGACCGTCGCGACGTCATACCGTCCTCGCGCCGATCGATCGCCGTCCGGCGTCTGTTACACCACCCGATATCCCACCACATTTCTCACGGATCCAACCGCTAAATAACACCACCCATAGTTTCCAATAGTGAGTGCTGTTCTGTTCAAACCCGAAAACTTAAACCCTTAGTGATACCCACGACTCAAGGATCTGTCGCAATCGTTTCAGGGATGTAGTGCAGTATGCATATCACATCGGGACTGTCGCCGGCGTCGGGCGAAATGCTCGATACGACGATTCTTAACCTGTATGGAGATGCTGGAGATCAGTGCGGTGGTACATTCTTTACTGTGGACAGTGCAGTGCCGGAGTCGTCACACACAGTTGAAATTGAATATATATACGAGCAACCAGAGGCTTACGCGCAAAATATCGAGCAGATTGAGGTGAACGATGCAGCTCAACCGATCGTTAAAGATCCGATACCTCGGGAGAATGTGCCGAAGAAGAAACCGATCAAGCATAAACCGGAGAGGACGATGGTGGAGGAAAACGAGCCAGAGATGGATTTAACCAACTTGAATTGGCTGCAAAATATTACGAACATTATGTCAGTGCCGCAGTTTCCAATACTGCCGATATCGCCGAACCCACAGACGAAAACACAACCGCAGAACACGAGGCTGCATAAATTTAATCAGACGATCGCGAAATGTCAAAATGATTTCATGGAAAACAAGGAGGAGTACCAGACGAATAGCGAAAAGAAGCCTCCTTATTCATACAGCACGCTGATTTGCATGGCGATGAGATATAACAACGACAAGATGACACTGTCCGCTATTTATTCCTGGATAAAAGATAATTTCAAGTATTATCGAAATGCCGACCCCACGTGGCAGGTAAGCCTTATCGCAAATTATTCAGTAGCTAGCACCGATCTGATTCTAATAACCGGTAAATCTGCAACGTGCGATTAGATATCGTCTAATTGGATATTAGTAAAATATATTGCAAAACTGGTAGGGCATCGCAAGATAAGACATATCAGTAACATGTATGAAGTAGTTTTAATTTTTAATACATATTCATGATATAACGTTCATATGTAATAAATATTCGCTTCAAAATGGTTTTTTTTTTAGGATTTGATCGTATGACTCAAGCGATTTCCTTAGTAAGGCGCTATATTGTTGAGTCATTTGAATTTCAAGCACATAGATAGAATTTGTGTTAGGTATTTATCGACTACCTACCTCGTTGAGTTGAGTTCTCGGTCTATTTTCGTGATTTAATTAATTTTCGTATTTATCAATTACATCATTGGTCTAGTGATCTTAGGCGCGACTTCTGATCATGGGGTCCTGCGTTCGAATGCCGTGTCGGACTAAAATTAGTTAATGGGTGTTTCTGTTAATAATTTCTCGGTAGCAACTGCGACTCAGGAGGTTGGCGATGTTTTACCCCCGTGTCCCGGAAAGCAAGCCTGTGCCTGATTCTTCTCCTTTATAGTCGGATTGCCGTCCTATCGGATGAGAGTGAGATAACAGAGAGTGCACTTTGGGCACACCCTTGTACTATAATACGCTCTTGCGCAGGTGGCTAGTTTCCGTTAAAACTTGACCGAAAGTCGGGCTGGACGACATTATTTTTGTAGAATTTTATATATACGTAGCCCGCGGTACACAAATTAGATGGGGAGCGAAATCGAGTGAGAAAAAAGTGAAGTCATTATGTTTCCCCTTCGCGCGTCTTATACTGAGCTCAATAATAGTTACAAAATTTTCTTATTTAATGGTTAATATATTCTTAATTTTTTTTATTCAAACATAAAAAGCTGAGGTTGTTATATAATATGTATTAGTTTCAACGAGTTGAATGATATCTTTACTTCAACATAAACCAATAACATCACACTATTAGAAAAAATATCATTAGTTTGAAGCAGAGTAAAGAGCAGCGGTCTACTCACACTACGTTTACCCAAAAAATTTAATTAGATTAAATTAAATAGAAAATTGTGATAAAATTATAGATGGATAGGTCATCACATACACAATCACAATCAGTCATATTCAATATCCCATCAGTCATTCTAGGCAAGTAGCGCAGTTGACACATTCTTTCTTGTTTTAATTCCTCCATAACCGTGAGGTCATCTGACGTAATAACCGATATATGGCGGGAAATTCACTTGAAAATGTGAAATACAAACCTCATAGTTTTATGATAGATGAAGGAACACTATTAATACGAAATAATAATGTCCTCCAGTCCGAATTTCCGTCACGGCGGCCAGGCTCAGCGAAGATTAAACATAGACGTAGGATAAGATTATTGTGCCCAAGTGTATGCGCAAGCAGAGGTGCCCTCTCTATTCACTCACTCTCATAATCCGATGGTACGGTAATCCAAATCGAATCCTTCTTTCTTACTTCTTTCCAAGGGCCAGGTGTAAAACACCGCCAACTTCTTGACTCCAGACTGTTACTGAGAATTTCTTGATATAAAATCTCAATAACTGATTTTTAGCGATTACGACCACTAGATCAAAGAAGCAGTTATAATTTATTTATTTATTTAGGCTTACCAGCTAAACACATACAAAACATTATTATTAAACATTTGCAGTTATTAACAAAATTATACTATATTTGTATTTAACTTAAAGGTATGCACAACATTTCAACATGAAACTTAAAATTAGTTATGAAATTAACATACAATAAAATATTATATAAACACAAAGACACTATTCTATGCAATACAGGTAAGATTGTAATTTGGTAGAGAGCTTAACATTGTATAATTTAAAGTTTAAGAGTTTTTTATATTTAGTTTTAGTTGTTATAATTAACAATACTGCGTTCAACTACCTATCTCGCTCCGAGTGGAGAATATGGGCAAAATTTTCAGATTACGTAATATTACTCTTCGTGAATTCTTGAAAGGGGCTTATATTCAGGAGTGGATAAAATTCTAGTTGAAAAGTAAAGAAATCGACAGCTCAGAGGCGTTGTGGCTTTCGATTGAGATGCGGCGCTGAAGGCCGCGAGTTGGAATCCCGTACGGAACAAATATTAGTATGGGCTACAAATAGCTTTTCCGGATCTGGATGTTTGTCTTTGTGCAATTTATGTTTGTAAACTGCCTTTACGTAGCAGGAGAATATCCTCTTGTTATCCCTCTCACTTCTTTTATTTAAAAATTAGCTATACTCCGCAACATCGCCCGCGTGTAAATTAACCCTATTCTAAAATAAATTAATATTAACACTAAACCTTTTTCTAAAATAAAAGTAACCTAAGTTACTCCTTATAATATTAGCTATCTACCAGTGAAAGTCCCGTCAAAATAGGTCTAGCCGTTTCGGAGATTAGCCGGAACAAACAGACAGACAGACAAAAATGTTAGAAATTGTGTTTTTGTTATAAGCACCGTATATACTTTCATATGCATTTAGTTATAATCTGTTATTTTGACCTTACAAACAGACACTTCAATTTTATTTATTTGTGTAGATATAGTTAAAGATAAAGATTTATTTGCCAGTATGCGACTTTTATTATAATAATTTTTGGAATAAAAGTCGGAGAACTGACTTTCATTCTCAATCTTTAATTGCTGGCTTAAAGGTTTTGTTTTAAAGTTTCACGAATGATAGCCTTGTAATAGTAAGTGAAATATAGGACAGCTTTACACTAGATGGAATGATGACTTGGTATGAGATGTAGGAAGTCGCTGTTTGCAGGTGGTTTAGAATCATGCTTTCTGGTATTTCTAAGGGGATTTTATTGTTCAGCGGATTACATTATTACAACGTAAGTCCACACTTATGATAGTATGTAATTAACAAACTTTGTACATGGTAGAGCCATGCTGCAGCTATATTAATAGTATAGTTGTAGCACGAATGGGTCGGCGCGATCGGGGAAAGACCACGCTCTCATAGTATACCAGCGTAAAATAGCAGCTTAATGCTGCTGTGTTTCGCATGGTGAGTGTAGAGAACCGGAGACCCTTTTTACTGGAAAAGAGGCATTCTATCTTAGTCATCACAGCTGACAACGCATCTGCATTTTAATTCGCAAACGAAGATAGATGTAGATGTCTATGGGCCACAGCAACCACTTACGATCAGGTGGACTGTGTGCTCGTTTGTCACCCCTATTCTATAACAATAATAATTCAAAGGTTTTTATTTCAATTCAATATGGAAGGACCTTATCGTTCCGTGTGTGACGCAAACGGCGATAGAGGGAAACTGAAACATAAGATAGTCAGCAGCACCTTTCTGATAACAACACAAAATTACAAGAAAACTTCGGTTGCCAACCCGCCTGCTAAGCGTGGCAACTATGGCAACGTCCTCTAATGAGGCAATCTAGATGGGAGATCTATGTTCAGCAGTGGACTTTTTAAGCTGCAATGGATGAATGTTTAGTTCCGTTGCAACAAATTAATTTTAAGATACAAAAGATAAATTATAATCGACGATAGTTATTACTTCTGTAATTATAAGCGTCTTAGTTCAAAAGATTTTATCTCACCCGAACACACTAATTAACCGCCTTCACAACGGAGGAGGTTCTCAATTTGAGTGTATGTTTTTTTGTATGTATGTCAAGCGATGTCATCGTAGATTGTGAACCAATTTCAATGAATCTTTTTTTATAAAATATGTTATAATTCATGGGTGGTACCGTATAAATTTGGCGAAAAATTCCAACACAAAAGGTAGCAAATACATGACTTCTTTTTTAGCAATTTGTAGTCGGTTTTTACTTTTTGCTAAAAAATTATAATTATTGGCAATTACTAATCACAACACTTAAGCCTTGCAAGTTATGCGCAGCATAAAACTATTTTTCAGTCAATCTTACGGAATGTTGGAATTTCTTTTCTTCCGACGCCTCTTGTATAGTAATTTTACATTACAATATAAAACTCGGTAATTAAAATAATATTAATCCCGAAATGGACAAACATGAAATACATTTAACTAATCACTTGTTCATTATTTTGATTACAGAACTCAATAAGGCATAATTTATCACTGAACAAAGTGTTTGTTAAAGAGGCTAGATCAAAACACGAGCCAGGCAAAGGCGGCTTTTGGAAACTCGATCTCGCTCATTTAGAAGGCACGAAGCGCATTTCAAGTAGACCTCAAAAAAAGAAGAAGACTGTAACGAATACAAGTAATCCTAAATCTAACGAAGACAGAGTCGCTGTAGCGAACATACCGCAGATTCAAAGCGTTAATGAAATTAGCGATTTGGGACAGACCGTTACTCTGCACCTGCCGGAATTCAACTTGGGCATGCAAACGCTACCAAATATGGAAGTTGGATCGAATATTGGGGCAAATGTTATAGTGGAGCCCGTTGCCCCGCCTCCGTTAATTACCGATTCTGAACCAGATGACCTCACTTCGTTACTTCTGAGCCCAACGGAATGGGACGACTTGCAGTTGGATATGCTCGATAATTATTTGGATTCTTGTTTCAAGTAAGTAATTAATAAGTCATTATTTGTGATGAAATAGCATTGTTTGTGTAATGCTTTTATATCAAGATTGGGATTAATTAAGAAATAAGAAATTTAAAATCATTCTCAATGTTCTCTTGCATGTATAGTAGTTCATGATGAATTTAAATTTGTCTTATTGCGAGTATATTGATAAATTTAATATTGGTAAATAAACTCTTAAACTCTTTTAAATTATACGAAAACTAAAAACCAACAAAGTTTTTATATTTTAATTAAATGCAACATAGGTTTGGATATATTGTTTATAGTTTTTAAAATAAAATATAAAAATAATATTAGCAACATTAATTATTTTAGTTCAATTTATAACTTTAAAACTTTTTATTTCATTGTTTATTTTACTTATGATGGCTAAAACACAAACTAGATACGTTTTTTAAAATTAAACAATAGCAGAATCCTGTTTAACATTTTTTTTTATCGAATTGTGAAACCTATTGCGTTTGCTCAAAAAAGCTCAAGCATTGTCAATGGTTGTAAAAATAATAGAAGAAATAGAAACAGTAGCACAGATTAGTTAATAGTTTATTAAAACAGTAGGCAGTAATGACTATTACTTTAAAAAAAAACACGATATTTACACATTCACAAACTTGTTTCAATTAAGCAAGCAATGTTCATTTGAGTTAAACTCTATGCATGTTATCAAAAATTGAAACATTTATTTCCTTGGATTATTTCTTATATTATGTGCATAGTGAAAGAATAACGTGATATGTCCTGATTTGAAAATTTATAATTTACACACTTTTATGTAATAATTTAAAGACCTTTACCGCTCAGTATTATGAAGTACAATGTATAAAGTTTAATAACACCTATTATAGCTTAATTATATTTAAGTTACTATTATTGTAAAATTTTAAAAATGTACTTAAGTCACAAACGTAAAAAAATTAATATTTATTTTAATTTGCAAAGCAGTAATTTATATATTTAGAAGGCAATAATTGAAACTATTATTTAGGGTAAATTGTGTGTTATTTAATAATATAATACTTATATTAAAATAAGCATTAAACTTATATAGTACAGGGCCTTAAAATATCAGATAATCCGTCCAGTATTATGGCATGCAGAAGCTGCGCTGCGTTGTGAATTGAACTTGCTCAGCACAAAGTGAAAGAAATTTTGTATGTATAAAATTATGTATTTAATATATTGATTTAAAAAGTAAGTAATAAGTAATGGTTTAATAAGAAAAATGTTTATTATTTTGAACGTCGTATTAGAAGAATATTAATGGCAGTGGCAGTTTGAAACTAGACTATGTATTATTTGCACGTCATAGTAATATAAGAAGTATTTAAAATATCTAAAAACTAAAAAAATAGAGTATGCCGCAGTACTGTTGACCTTTGATTTAGGCGTACATAAAAGTTATTGACGTGTCTATTGTTTTACTCGTTTAAAAGATGATGAAATTATTTCTTTTGCAGAATCATATAAAATTTTAACTGCTCGTATACCTAAAATCTGAGAAAGTAATTTTTAGGAAGGTGTTTTTTTTTAATTTTCGTGTTGTTTTAAAAGATACTGTAGATTTAGAAAAATGTACTTAGACAATATAATTTTGTCGTATGCTCGAGAAAACTAAATGTAAGTAGTGATCATAATTTTTATACTTGCACAAAATAACGTAGTTTTACTAGAAAATGTTGTGACTATGATAACTTCGTTGTGTATGATATATATGTATATATAAGCGGGTTATATACATATCTTCCGTCCGTGAGTGTCTTATTGTAAAAGATTCACACTTAACACTTGAATTTTGAGTTGAATATACATATATACAGTTCGTACGGATAAATAATGGGATTAGAAATGGCGGCTCAAGCTCAAGCACATCATGCCCGTACCGTCAACATACATAGTACCAATAGCGAAAGCCCCCTTATAACGGTATATCGTTATATTATTCGGTTAATTGGACATTTTTTATTAATGGGAAAGAATTTGAAAGGAATTATATACGCAAGTAGGTACATTAATTTTAAAATAACATTCTTCGCTTGTGTGGAATATATTAATGTGGCGTTATTTAGACTTAAGGTAATCATTAAATACCAATTTTATCTACCAATATTTCTATTTAATAAAATCTTTAAACGTTTCGGAAAAAATTTAGTCGGCATCACTCCTGGTCTCCTGGTAACTCTTTATTTGACAATTGGGACTGAAGTTTTAGAACGGACGAAAAACATATACCGCTACGTATTTTTTGCAGTCTTTACCGGCGGGTGTGAGTATAGACAGCAACAGTGTTCGAGCGAGAGGTGAATCGGGGCGACACCATTTTCAATCCCATTCTTTAACCGCACGGGTATTTATAAAAATATTGCCCATATTTGGTAATCAATTTTAACTTTCTTTTATTTGTTAAAAAACTCATAGAATCTATTTTAAAGTTATTACGATTCATACGATTACGAGGTTTAGTGTCGATATTATCCAGTAATATACGACACAAACGAGTTGACATAAATTGACATACTTTAAAAGAGTAGTCTTCGGACTCTCGGAATCAAAACGAGGGGATATTTTAAAATTACGATTATGACTTAAAAATCGGGCTCATTACAATTATCAAGTAACAACTTAATAATTAAATTTCATTATTTCGGACATATACATGTATAAGAACTAAGATGTTTTTATATCATGGAAAATAATATTTTTGTGCTTCATACATATAAAGAAAAAAACTTGCTATGTGCTCTCTCTTAAGGTGAAAGCGCCAGGGTGGCCTGTGAAATGCAAATTTTCTTACGTTTTTTGGAAATTGCAGGTCAGAGTCAGATTGTATGTTTAACAAAACATGATTCGCGACCGTAACGAGTATGTGTTTATCATTCAAATCGCTAATACAACCCTCTAAGTTCATATAATCACTTTGAATGGGTTTGTCTGGAAATAGCCATACAATGGGATTATACGAACTTAGAGAGTTGTATTGATGATTATAATTCTGTAAATGCCTATCTTCAGCAGTTAAAATGATGTGTGCCATTATTGTGTGTTTATTTCTGATGGCGATAGAGATATAAATGTACCCTAGTCTGAGAGCTTATAGTATAAAAATATTAAGTGCAATAATTAAGTTCTATCTTTCTAAGCATGTAATTAGTTCCATTGAGAAATAATATAATATAATGTATGTCTAATTTAAAAATAATTAAAACATTTTGCAAAAAGAAGTTAAATTTAAATAGGCAATTTTGCTAGAACATGGATGAAACAAAAAAGTCACGCGACTGTTAAGGAAATGACAGATAAAAAAGTCTAATTTTTTTTTATTGGTAAATATCTAAGAAATAATATTCAGTATTGATAATGTTCACAAAATTACTTTTAAATAGACTATTTAGTTGTGTTAAATGTGGATCTTAGTTAGAATATATTTACATGTAGTGTTATTCTCTAGTCATTATTTTCGTATTGATCTTGTAGGTATTTAAACCAGTTATATTAATTATTTTTTATGCAATCAACTCTGAAGCAAAAGATGTAGGAACTAGGTATATCTAATGAAATGCAAATTAGTTTACATTGATTTTAATACAAACAATTCTCTTTCAGATTGTTATTTTGTTTAATATAACAATCGCTTAATAATACAAACATTTTGAAATATACTTTCGCCGTTATATTTGTATTGTGTTTTGTAATGTGAACAAAAAGTGACAAATGTAGAAAAAGTAAAAGTAGTCTGAACTTTCAAACTTGGGATGATTTTTCGATCATAAGTTATTCTTAAGATATACATATATTATATAACAACATTAACAAATTAAAAAAAATTAAATAAACTATTGGTAAATCCAATTGTGCATGCCTTAAGCGCATTATAACATGATTATACGTAATTTTTTTAAAGTAGTTTAAATACACACAAGTTTTCACCTAATAACCTTATTATAATACTTCCAATTTTCCAATAATATTATGTCAAAATTCAATAAAAAAAAAAGTTTGGAAGATCATATCATCATTCAGGTCACTCCATAAATTCCAAGACGTATTTAAGTATAAATATGATTAAATATATACATCCTACTTACTTTTAGTAGGTACTACTATTATTTATTCTGTGCTTTTAAAATATTGTATTAAAAATCTCTGATTATTATAATAATCAAGTATGTATAAAATTTGGGTTTTCGAATAATTTGTAGTTGTATGTATTTGTGCCGCTGCAAATAACGATAACGATACAGTATCCACTCACGATGGCGGTTGACGCAGAAGTGAGTGAGTGAGGCAACAAGGCTGCTAAAACACTGAAAATTTCCGGATTTATACGCCGAAAAGAAATAATTATAACTAAACAAAAGAAAATTAAACTGCCATTTACATTCCATGCCTTCCCACATGATAGATGAAGAGATTAAAAAATAGATTGAGTTAAACAATTGATATTTTCAAAAGTTATCGTGTTTACCCCTCCACGCAGACTTGATAAATCTGCACCATAAGCCACTAAAACGACTTTTTTATGTAAATAAAATATTAATAAGTTCAACAATCATTTATCTTTCTGACAATGTGCTTTTTATATAATATATATGTTTAATATGACTTTTAGATACCATTTTATGCAACAAAACATTGGAATCTTCATTTTTAGGCGCTAGTAGAACATACCTACGCGCTTTGCGCTTAAGGCATGCAATTATAGTTGCATGAATAAACTAATTTACGTGTTTGAATTTTTGAGTCACTCAGTCAGTATAATATTTGACATCGCCTCAGCGTCAGATGATCGAAAAATCAGCCATTAGAGTAACATGCATATTATGTATGCACTTGAAGTAGGCGAAATTACATTTTGTATTCTCTGTAAAATAAGTTGTCTTAAATACAAGGTCTTAATGTATAAGTGGTTCAATTTGTGACATTTCTTTTAGTAGTTCTATCCTAAGTGTTTAGTGTTATTTTACATTAAAGCTCAAAGAAACCTGTACGCAATATTAATGTGTAGAAGTGACCTTAAATATACACAATAAAATGTTTATTGTCTTTTGTACTATTACACCCTATTTAATAGAAGTAATTCTATTTTAAGCTGCATATTTTGAATAAATATTGATATATCTGATCATAACTATGGCAGTAAAAAACTTTATCACTATTATGTGATACATGTTTTATATTTTTTTCAAAAAATATGTTAGCCATTACGGTAACAGCTGCGTTTATGTTGCCACTTGGTAATGTTGGCAGTATTGAGGCATCAGCTATGTACAGATTTTGAATGTTTAAAACTCTAAAAGATGTATCAACAACAGAGTTTTTAGAATCTGACAAACCCATGGAACAAGTTCCTACGGGATGGTAACTAGTTAACGTCAAATGCCGGACGTAGCATTCCAAATACGCATCTGAAAAAAATGGAAATTGTGTACACCCTGGAAAGGAGTTTGTATTTAAATGAGCCTCAATTGCTTTTAACGAATCAGTCTTTATAAACTTAATTGCTAATTTTAAACCGGTTATTAAAGTATCTACATCTTCTTTTGCACTTAAATATCTGGGATTAACTAAAGGTGGTATTTCTGGATCAGTACTCTTAATAAACACATTACCTTTACTTTTAGGATGCAAAATAACTGTGAAGAAAGTTGCCGTATGGTAATTAAATGTTTTTGTGAAATATTCATTCCATACTTCATCACTTATACCTATAAGTTTCCTTAATAAACTACCTCTGTCTGAAGCAATGCCTACTGGAAGGACCATAATCTCGATGTCAGGCGTAGTTAAATTTTTCGTTGATAAAAATCCTAACACTTCGCAACCTGGATTCGTCCATGGTCCTTTTCCTTGAATATAGTGAAATAAATTTAATGGATTAATTATATTTGCAGCAGAAACTGACAAAGTTTTATTTAATAATATCAAATCCAATCCTGAGCCGACATGGTCTTGTAGATTGAGTCCTACTGGCAAGTCTTGTATTATAGGAATGTTCAACGATTTGAGTAATTTTGAAGGTCCAACCCCGGACAATTGAAGAATTTTTGGCGTATTCAAAGTCCCAGCAGATAGAATTACGCCTTTTCTTGCCAGCACTATATGTGTCTTGTCCGATATACGCACACTGACTCCAAAGCTTTTGTTATTAATAATTAGTACTTTTTCAACTAGAGCATTCGTTGTCACGTGTTTATTTAAATCCAACATGTCCGAAGTTGTCCATCGTTTCCCATTTTTATGGGTCACTCTGCTTTTGCTAAATCCTTTCTTGAAATGTTTATCTAGCTTCTCGTACCCTAATTCTTTGGCAGCATCTAATATAGCGTCAGTCATTTCACTTTGGTATGGTATATCATCTATATTAAGAAAGTATTCTTCTAAAAAATCAAAATGTTGCCGAATATATTCTTCATTGTGTACTCCATGAAACCATTCTGCGTAATGAGAAAGGTTGCCACGTATGTGTATCATGTTGTTCAGTTTTGATGATCCACCCACAATTTTTCCTTGTGTTAGTTTGCATTTCTGACAAAGAAAAATACATTGTTAAGTTTTAACATTAGTTTTTAATTACTGTACGATAAATTTTATATGTGCCGTGTAGTGGCGGTTAAGAATATCCACTACCCCATATCTTCCCGTGGGTGTCGTAAAAGGCGACAAAGGGAAACAGGCAGGAGATGGGCAGCAGCATCTTCCTGATAACAGCAAGATGACAATTTAAAAAAAATGCGGTTGCCAACCCGCTCACCAAGCGTGGCAACTATGGCAAATACCCCCCAATGATGAGAGTAACAAACAGACGGCCCCCAGTCCCCGGCGGCCCCGCTATTATCTATAATCTCCGATGGAGGTTCGGTTGCCACCTAAGACGACTCGACCTGGCAACATACAACGCACGCACCCTGACGACTGACAAGAAGATCGTGGAGCTGGAAAAAGAGATAGACAAGTTACGCTGGCATATTATAGAATTATCCGATGTCCGAAGAGAGGTGGAGGACACGGTAATCCTCGAATCCGGCAACTTGCTTTTGTCCCAAGGAGGTGTCGGATTTATCGTCCACAAGTCTCTTGTTAACGACGTTGTAAAGATTGAGAGTGTGTCGACGAGGGTTGCGTACCTTATACTCAGAATCACCAAACGGTATTCGCTGAAGGTCATACAGGTTTACGCACCAACCTCGGCACATCCCGATGAGGAGGTGGAGGAAATGTATGAGGATATCTCTAGAGCCATACATTCCTCCAAAACCTACTATACGGTGTTAATGGGAGACTTCAATGCAAAACTAGGCATAAGAGAGAACGGTGAGCTGAAGGTAGGGAAATTTGGAATAGGGCAAAGGAACCTAAGGGGCCAGCAGCGGGCCGACTTCATGGAGAAAGAGGGATTCTTTATGATGAACTCTTTCTTCCAGAAGCGGCCCCACAGGAAGTGGACCTGGTCGAGCCCCGACGGTTCGACAAAAAATGAGATTGACTTCATTATGACGACCAGACGACAACTGTTCAGTGATGTCTCCGTGATCGCGAGGGTGAAAACTGGTAGCGATCACCGAATGGTTAGAGGCACACTGAACCTAACCGTTAAGTTGGAGAGGTCTTGTCTAATGAAGTCAACGCTTCGTCCCTCTCGTGCTCTGTTCCAAAGTCCCGAAACCTTTCCGCTCGAGTTACAAAACCGTTTTCAGTGCCTAGAAGACTGCAATCAAATGGGCGACATGAATGACAAGCTCGTGGAAACTCTCCATGCGGTCGAAGCTAAGTTCTGCAAGACCCGTCGCAGAAGAATACAAAAACTCTCCGATCACACTCTTAATCTCATGGTTGTTAGACGGGAGATGAAGCTATATTCTTCAACAGATTTGACAGCATACAGGCAACTGAACAGATAGATCTCCAAATGCATGCGGCGGGATTTACGCAACTTCAATACAGCTCGTATTGAAGAAGCGATCGAGCAGAAACAAGGCTCCAAAGTCTTTGCCAGAGATCTGTCTGCCAGAAAGAGCCAACTGTCAAAGATGAAGACCGAGTGTGGCAGCATCGTTTCCGGGACACCTGAGATTTTGAGTGAGATTGAGAGGTTCTATGGGCAGGTGTACACGTCATCGTTGGAGCCACACGCGAGTGTGGGTAACGATCCAGAGGCGATTCTTATCCGACACTATTCCGAAGATATCCCGGACGTCAGTCTGAGAGAGATTAGAATGGCTCTCTAGCACCTTAAAAACGGCAGGGCCCCAGGTGGGGATGGAATTACAACGGAGGTCTTGAAAGCGGGTGGAAAACCGGTACTTGAAGTCCTTCAGAAGCTCTTTAATTCCGTCCTCCATGGAGTCACTACTCCAGAGGCGTGGAGCAGAAGTGCAGTGGTATTGTTCTTTAAGAAAGGCGACAACGCTCTCTTGAAGAACTACAGACCGATTTCCCTTCGAAGCCGCGTCTACATGCTGTTTTCGAGAGTCTACGAATCGTCTCGCACGCAGACTTGACGACTTCCAGTCTCCCGAACAAGGCGGTTTCCGAAAGGGCTTTTGTACCATTGACTACATACACACCCTTCGGCAAATTCTACAGAAGTCCGAAGAGTACAATTTGCCACTATGTCTGGCATATGTGGACTATGAGAAAGCCTTTGATTCCGTCGAAATTTGGGCGGTGCTGCAGTCCCTTCAGCGATGCCAAGTTGACTGTCGGTATATCGAAGTGCTGAAGTGTTTGTACAGTAGAGCTACGATGGCTATCCGAGTACAGAATCAGAGTACGAAACCTATCCAATTGCAGAGAGGTGTAAGACAGGGTGACGTTATATCCCCGAAACTCTTCACCGCTGCATTGGAAGACGTTTTCAAGCTACTGGACTGGAAAGGATGCGGTATTAGCATCAATGGCGAGTACATCACTTACCTTCGATTTGCCGACGATATAGTCCTTATGGCAGAATCGCTGGAGGACCTAAGCACTATGCTCAATGACCTCAATAGTGTCTCCCAACGGATAGGTCTTAAGATGAACATGGACAAAACAAAAATCATGTTTAACGTCCATGTCACACCTATGCCGGTAGTTCTTGGGAGCACTAAGCTCGAAGTTGTTGACGAGTATGTTTACCTGGGACAAATAGTCCGACTAGGTAAGTCCAACTTCGACCGAGAGGTCAATCGACGGATTCAACTCGGCTGGGCAGCGTTCGGGAAATTACGACACATCTTCTCGTTAGATATACCTCAAAACCTGAAAACGAAATTGTACAACCAGTGCGTGTTGCCAGTGATGACTTACGGATCTGAGACGTGGTCCTTCACTGCTGGCCGTATGAGGAAGCTCAAGGTCGCTCAGCGAGCTATGGAAAGGGCTTTGCTCGGGGTTTCTCTGCGTGATAAACTTAGAAATGAGGATATCCGAAGTAGAACCAGAGTAACCGACATAGCCCAACGGATTAGTAAGCTAAAGTGGCAGTGGGCCGGCCATATAGCTCGAAGAACCGACAACCGATGGGGAAGAAAGGTTCTCGAGTGGCAGCCTCTTACCGGTAGGCGAAGTGTAGGGCGACCCCCCACTAGATGGAGTGACGACCTGGTTAGACATGTAGGAAGTCGATGAATGCAGGTGGCTCAGGAGCGTGCTTTGTGGTATTCCTTGGGGGAGGCCTATGTTCAGCAGTGGAGTTGTGAAAGGCTGTAATGATGATGATGATGATGTAATTTTATATTTCCAATTTTGGATAAATAAAGTCTAAAGAAACTAGTTAAATGATGTTTTTCGCTGCTAACCCTTTTGGTTTATGTTGCATTTTTTAAAGATTTATTGTGCTAGCAGCTGGATAGCAGCAAATAGCAGGTAGATAGGACGTTGTGAATACCAGTTGCTCCTCGACGATTCGCTCGTCGTCGCAACTATATAAATGTGAATTCGTCCTAGACCGAATGACCAGTTCAAAATATTCTCTTTCTGTTTTCTATATATATAATCATTTAACAGTGGTAAGGCCACGCGGCAGCTTTTGTTGTCGCACAGATGGGCCGGCTCGAACCGGGGTGGTACCACGACCTCACAGAAAACCAGCGTGAACTAGAGGTTTACCTCTGCGTTTCGCTTGGTGAGTGCAGGTGGCCGGAGGCCCTTTTTACTGGAAATGAGGCATTCCATCTTAGTCCTCACGGGTGACAACGCATCTACATTTTGATTTGTAATAGAAGATAGATGTAGATGTCTATGGGCCGCAGCAGCCACTTACCATCAGGTGGATTGTGTGCTCGTTTGTCACCCTTATGTTATAAAAAAATATATAAAAAAAAGTATGATTTTTCACTAACCTAAGGAGGTTGGTGAAAAATCGCTCTCATCATCATCATCATCATTACAGCCCTTCACAAGTCCACTGCTGAACATAGGCCTCCCCCAAAGAATGCCATAAAGCACGGTCCTGAGCCACCTGCATCCATCGACTTCCTGCATGTCTTACCAGGTCGTCACTCCATCTCGTGGCGGGACGCCCTACACTTCGCCTACCGGTACGAGGCTGCCACTCGAGAACCTTTCTTCCCCATCGGTTGTCGGTTCTTCGAGCTATATGGCCGGCCCATTGCCACTTCAGCTTACTAATCCGTTGGGCTATGTCGGTTACTCTGGTTCTACTGCGGATATCCTCATTCCTAAGTTTATCACGCAGAGAAACTCCGAGTATAGCCCTCTCCATAGCTCGCTGAGCGACCTTGAGCTTCCTCATCCGGCCAGCAGTGAAGGACCACGTCTCAGTTCCGTATGTCATCACTGGCAACACGCACTGGGTGTACAGTCTCGTTTTCAAGGTTTGAGGTATACCTGACGAGAAGATGTGCCGTAATTTCCCGAACGCTGCCCAACCGAGTTGAATCCGTCGATTGACCTCTCGGTCGAAGTTGGACTTACCTAGTCGGACTATTTGTCCCAGGTAAATATACTCGTCAACAACTTCGAGCTTAGTGTTCCCAACAACTACCGGCATAGGTGTGACATGGACATTAAACATGATTTTAGTTTTGTCCATGTTCATCTTAAGACCTATCCGTTGGGAAACACTATTGAGGTCATTGAGCATAGTGCTTAGGTCCTCCAGCGATTCTGCCATAAGGACTATATCGTCGGCAAATCGAAGGTGAGTGATGTACTCGCCATTTATGTTGATACCGTATCCTTTCCAGTCCAGAAGCTTGAAAACGTCTTCCAATGCAGCGGTGAAGAGTTTCGGAGATATGACGTCACCCTGTCTTACACCTCTCTGCAATTGGATAGGTTTCGTACTCTGGTTCTGTACTCGGATAGCCATCGTAGCCCTACTGTACAAGCACTTCAACACTTCGATATACCGACAGTCAACTTGGCACCGCTGAAGGGACTGCAGCACCGCCCAAATTTCGACGGAATCAAAGGCTTTCTCATAGTCCACATACGCCAGACATAGTGGCAAATTGTACTCTTCGGACTTCTGTACAATTTGCCGAAGGGTATGTATGTGGTCTATGGTGCTAAAGCCCTTTCGGAAACCGGCTTGTTCGGGAGGCTGGAAGTCGTCAAGTCTGCGCGCAAGACGATTCGTAATGACTCTCGAAAACAGCACGTAGACGCGGCTCAGAAGGGAAATCGGTCTGTAGTTCTTCAAGAGAGCGTTGTCACCTTTCTTGAAGAACAAGACCACCGCACTTCTGCTCCACAACTCCGGTGTAATGCCACCATGGAGGACGGAATTAAAGAGCTTCTGAAGGACTTCAAGTACCGGTTTTCCACCCGCTTTCAGAAGCTCCGCTGTAATTCCATCCTCGCCTGGGGCCTTACCGTTCTTAAGGTGCTGGAGAGCCATTCTAATCTTGCTCAGACTGACGTCCGGGATATCTTCGGAATAGTGTCGGATGAAACTCGCTCTTGGATCGTTACTCACACTTACGTGTGGCTCCAACGATGACGTGTACAACTGCCCATAGAACCTCTCAATCCCACTCAAAATATCAGGTGTCCCGGAAACGATGCTGCCACACTCTGTCTTCAGCTTTGACAGTTGGCTCTTTCTGGCAGACAGATCTCTGGCAAAGACTTTGGAGCCTTGGTTCCGCTCGATCGCTTCTTCAATACGAGCTGTATTGAAGTTGCGTAAGTCCCGTCGCATGCATTTGGAGATTTGTCTGTTCAGATGCCTGTATGCTGTCAAGTCTGTTGAAGAATGTAGCTTCATCTCCCGTCTAACAGCCATGAGATTAAGAGTGTGATCGGAGAGTTTTTGTGTTCTTCTGCGGCGGGTCTTGCAGAACTTAGCTCCGACCGCATGGACAGTTTCCACGAGCTTGTCATTCATATCGTCCACTTCATTGCACTCTTCTAGGCACTGAAAACGGTTTTGTAACTCGAGCTGAAAGGTTTCGGGACTTTGGATTAGAGCACGAGGGGGTCGGAGCGTTGACTTCATTAGACGAGACCTCTCCAACTTAACGTTTAGGTTCAGTGTGCCTCTAACCATTCGGTGATCGCTACCAGTTTTCACCCTCGCGATCACGGAGACATCACTGAACAGTTGTCGTCTGGTCGTCATAATGAAGTCAATCTCATTTTTTGTCGAACCGTCGGGGCTCGACCAGGTCCACTTCCTGTGGGGCCGCTTCTGGAAGAAAGAGTTCATCATAAAGAGTCCCTCTTTCTCCATGAAGTCGGCCAGCTGCTGGCCCCTTGGGTTCCGTTGCCCTATTCCAAATTTCCCTACTTTCAGCTCACCGTTCTCTCTTGTGCCTAGTTTTGCATTAAAGTCTCCCATTAACACCGTATATTGGGTTTTGGAGGAATGCATTGCTCTAGAGATATCCTCATACATTTCCTACACCTCCTCATCGAGGTGTGCCGAGGTTGGTGCGTAAACCTGTATGACCTTCAGCGAATACCGTTTGGTAATTCTGAGTATAAGGTACGCAACCCTCGTCGACACACTCCCGATCTTTACAACGTTGTTAACGAGAGACTTGTGGACGATAAATCCGACACCTCCTTGGGACAGATGGTCGCCCTCCCGGTGATAGAGCAAGTTGCCGGATTCGAGGATTACCGTGTCCTCCCCCTCTCTTCGGACTTCGGATAATCCTATAATATGCCAGCGCAACTTGTCTATCTCTTCTTCCAGCTCCACGATCTTCTCGTCAGTCCTCAGGGTGCGTGCGTTGTACGTTGCCAGGTCGAGTCGTCTAAGGTGGCAACCGAACCTCCACCGGAGATTCTTAGCACCCCCTGCCCCGCCGTTACCATGGTCGCCACCGTAGCCAGGAATAGCGGGGCCGCCGGGGACTGGGGGCCGTTTCTTTGTTACTGTCATTCATAGGGGGGTATTTGCCATAGTTGCCACGCTTGGCGAGCGGGTTGGCAACCGCAGTTTTTTTTTATTGTTAGTTTGTTGTTATCAAGAAGATGCTGCTGCCCATCTCCTGCCTGTTTCCCTTTGTCGCCTTTTACGACACCCACGGGAGGATATGGGGTAGTGGATATTCTTGACCACCACTACACGGCATAAATCGCTCTATATAATATATAATTGGTTATATATATATGGTCTCGCGTAAATCGGGTCACCTGGCAACACTAGCCTCACCGTTCATTTTATGTACCTGTTGTGGTCTTGGATTCGTACACCATGATATGTTAAGTCCATCAAAACAAATTGGGGAATTGGGGGAACTTGCTTGCTCCAAAATCCTTGATTCATTTTTAGAACTCATTACTGAGACCTGTGTTAAGCAGTGGAACGCATGTAAGCTATTATTACTTTTACACTAATCGCAACTGAGATGTCTGGCATATAATCTCTAATCCTGCAAAGCGTAACGACAAATCCACATGTGAGTAATAGCAAATACTCCCTCGAAATGAGGCACATGTAGTTATAGCTGTGGGCTGTTAACGGAATGTTGTGAAGAAGAATGAGAAAAAATTATAACTTCCGGTAGTATTACATGTATTTCTAAGTTGACCGTAAGAACTCTTTTCATTGCGAGGCGAAAACAAATCTCAAAGAAACCTAGGTTTTGGATATATTATACTAGAAATAATGTTTGATAACTCAGGATAACTCTTTGGAACGCAAGTAATCTATAAAATTATAAACTTGTGATTAGTTTCTAACAATACACGTACCATATTTTTATTTTATATAAAGACAAATTAACCCATTCCCTGTACCGTGACTCACCGTCTTACTATTGTCTGTAAATCGGATAGTGAGTGTTAAAGTACCTAGCAGCTTCAATAATAATAATTATTGTATTTCGTGGATAGTATACATATTGTATCCAGTTTGATGCCCACCAAATGAATGCTTAGCACAAATTAAAAAAAAGTTATCGTATGGTTGTAGTGTAGTAAGAGAGTCAAGAGAATCTATTCACTTATTGCATCAAGTAAGAGCTATACGGGAAAGGTCGGAAAGACTAATGAGTTTCAGTAAAAGGCTGTCTTCCATCTTACGTTTGCCAGATGTGAGATGCAAAACATATTATACTGCGATAAGACATGGGGAACTCAATAGATGTACGTGAGCTGTAGCTCAGATCACAGTTAAGGGCTCTTCAGCTCAATTAAACGTACAGCTTAAGCAGCTACTCATGTTGGCATAGGATAGTGAATGAAAAGATGGAGGCTGTGAAAGAAAAGCGCGCCTTGTGTTCGGATGCACTGTGCCTAAGCAGGGGGAGAGGGGGCCGAGTAGTCTTCTCCCAAGGGACCACCGGGATCCGGTTGGTGCTGGTTGGGCTGTTAATTTTGGTGAAATCGTTCCCATGGGACTGCGAGTATGCGGCGAAGAAACACCACGGGGTTTTATTCGTTAGGGTCTGACATATCTACATACGTTCTTGCCCCTGCGAGGTGGGTATGCGAAGGCGATACTCCATGAAAAAAGTATAGCGAGTCACAGTTCACGCAGTTTATCTGCATAATATTTATTCCAATCCGATCTAGGTATCTCTTTCTTATTTAACTCACAAGTACGCGGCGCGGTGTTACGGCCACCCTTCGGTTAATACATGCCATTGATTAATGAGGTCACCGTTGGTCTATTTTTAAATACAAAACAAATACCAGCTCAATAACTTCACTATTAAATATTAAATTAATTTTAATTAAATTAAAAAACAACCAGCGATCTATGACAGCATATGATTGAAGGACAAAGTTAAGATTTACCTATTTGTGAAAGGTGAGCTGAATAATTTGTCATTTGGCTGCAGTTCAGCGGCTTATGTGATATCTATATTTGAAGCGGCTCAGAGCTGAGTACAACACACGTCTAACTGTGCTTAACATTTTCGTATCATGTCATTCTATTATGCGTTTGATTACGGAAACCCTTTTTACTGGAAACGAGGCATTTCCTCATAGTTCTCAGAGGTGACAATGAATCTATCTATGAATACCAGCGTAAAATAGCAGTTTAACGTTGCTGTGTTTCGTATGGTGAGTGTAGAGAACCGGAGACCTTTTTTACTGATTCTTAATCGAAGATAAATGTACATGTCTATGGGCCACAGCATCCACTTACCATCAGGTGGACTATGTGCTCGTTTGTCACCCTTGTAGTATAAAAAAATTTAAAAAAGCATCGATAACACTTACTCTGTCAACCATTGCTAAACATGCATTCTCCTGTGGTGTGGTCTCGAACTGCCAATCATAAACCGACCCATGAAGCAACGGCCCAATAATTGGTATTTCATAGAGAAAATGGCTTCTGCCACCAGCTTCGAAAACCATGAAAGTAAAGTTTGTCTCGGTAGCTAATCTATGGCCAATTAAGGACCCCGCTGTTCCAGCGCCAACTGAAATTTAAATGTATTTGGAAAACTGCATATGAAGCAAGAATTTTAAAAGCGCTTAAATATTCATTTATTCTGTCTGTCATCCCATATCATCATCACCATCATCATTACAGCCCTTCGCAAATCCACTGCTAGATATAGGCATCTCCCAAGGATCGATCGATTGACTCGATATCTTAACAAGTCGTAAGTCGTAACTCCACTTTGCTTACCGGTACGAGGTTGCCACTCGAAAACTTTTCTCCCCCATCGGTTGTCGGTACTTTGAGCTATATGGCCAGCCTATAGCTATGTCGGTAACTCTGGTTCTACTGCGTAAATCCTCATTTCTAAGTTTATCACGCTGAGAAACTCCGAGCAAGCCCTCTATATCATAGCTCGCTGAGCGACCTTGAGATTCCTCATACCTTCCATATATGTTAGGTCTAAAGGAGTACACCTATTATGGGGAGCATTGTCAAATCGCCCCATAATAATGGGGACAAAAAAGGTTATCCAATTACAAAACCGGAGCACAAAACCTACTGAACTGATATGATAATGTCTTTTAACTCTACTAGCTGTGCCCCGCGTTTCACCCGCGTATATCACGTGTCTGAGGTGCGCCACAAGACGTGACACCTAGTTCAAGCATTTTAGATAGCAATGTATGGAAAAATGTAAAAAAATTATGGAGTACTTTTATCTACGAGTAGGGTTACCAGATCCCACAATGAGTTTTCCTGGCAATATACCTGACTTTTCAATAAATTTCTTGACATTGACGTAGAAGCAGCAAATAGTCCGAGAGCTGGTAGACATTTTTGGGTAGGTATTTGACAAGATTTCAGCGCGCCTCAAATACCTACCCAAAAATGTATTTTTTTATAGGATAGGCTGACAACCGAACACACAGTCCATCTGATGGTAAGTGGTTGCTGTGACCCATAGACATCTACATTTATATCCTTAATAAAGAATCAAAATGCAGATGTGTTGTCACCCTTGAGGACTAAGATGGAATGCCTCTTTTCCAGTAAAAAGGGTCTCTGGTTCTCTACACTCACCATACGAAACACAGCAGTATTAAGCTGCTATTTTACGCTGGTATTCTGTAAGTGTGATCCTTCCCCGGTTGAGCCAGCCCATTCGTGCTACAACTATACTACTAATATAGTTGCAGCATGGCTCTACCACGTATAGAAACCAGCTCTCCTAATAATATACATATATACCTCATTGTAAAAACTCGCGCATGTACTTGACATATTATGCGCAATAAAAAGTACGAGCCAAATCAGATGGATGAAATAACTTAACTTCGAGATTGATTCATATATTATTATTTTTTGTATGTAAACTTTTTAATGAATATATTAATTTGTACTTCTAATGTTTTTCTTTTTCTATTTAAAAATTTCTGACAACTGCAAATTTTTCCTGTTTCCCTGACAGAGAGCTGAAATTCCGGACATATCAGGAAAATTCCTGTCATCTGGTAACCCTATCTGCGAGCGAAGTGAAATTTTATCCACTCTCCCGGTTGAGCGTGACTCCTCCCGCTCAGTTTTCTCAAAAATTTCCCAATTTTAAGCGCGGAAACTACAAGTGATTTTTTATGTATAAGAGGTTCATAGCAAATTTATCAATAATCATTTCGTACCTTAACGCTTTTCATGTATCGTTTCTTGTACTATTATTTATTTAAAATTTTGAATCGAAATATACACCCAAATCCTTAACAATCTCCTTGCGTGTAAGAGGCTGGCTATTGATATTATACTTAAAATCCAGGTGATTGTGTTTAGTAGTGATAACTAAACACTTACTGATATTTAAGAACATAAAATTAGCAGAACACCAATTAGCAACTACATGTCTTTTTACAATGCAATGCAGTCATTCACGTCACTTATCACGCAATATATTTTCATATCGTCAGCATAAAGTAGGTAGTGACTCTGGATTACGTCAACCAAATTATTTATAAAAACAATAAAAGCAATGGCCCTAAATGGGATCCTTGGGGAACACCAGACGTGACCGCTGCTGGAGCTGAGTTATAACCTTTAACCGCAACAATCTGGCTCCTCCTGGATATGTACGATCTTACCCAACGAAGTAAATTGTCATGAATACCATAGGCCTCTAATTTTACACTCAGTAACTCGAATTTGACCTTGTCAAATGCCAATTTTATAATTGAACTAACCTCGCTCATAGAAGCATTCAGAGCTAATTTATCTCGGATCTCATCGGGCGGCAAGGGTTTATACGCCGTTTGCGCTAAGCCAAGTTTTGAATTATTTTAATTTTACATTATCTCTTAAACTATGCGTCCAAATAACATGCTATAACGAGCAAAGTTTATCTTCAAAAAACAAAAAATCTTGATGATAAAGTAAGTTTTGCTGTAAGGATTAACATGCCATACCTAATAATAACGCTCATAAATCCCTTTTTAATTTTCAATATTTTTTTGTCACAAAATACCTTATTGTTACTTATGTATAAGAAATAGGCATATGGCTTCGTGGACATTTTTTAGATGGAGTAAAGATCTATATTTTTGTAGAATGTTGTATTTACACGTATCATTAACCATTACACCAGCGAACGCGGATAATTAATTTCGGAAGCGCTTTTTCTTCTGACTTGCTTAACAAAAAACCGGCCAAGTGCGAGTCGGACTCGCGCACCGAGGGTTGCGAACAAATCTAACGCCTCTACGCCTTAGCGTAACAAATCGCAGGCATCCCTCCTCGCCTCCTGCTCTTGCCGCAGCGCCAAAAACATAAATTTTTAGTTAAGGCTTTACAAAAACACTAGGGGTAGGGCAGACAAGACTACGTGGAGTCGGGGTGTTCTGATTCGGTTTTAGTAAAGATTCGACCTATCTTATCTATAAAGTCAGGTTGCCCTAAACTCTGCTATGATAGTGGTAAATGAAACAATATAATGTGAATTGTTATAATTTTGTTTTCTGAAAAACCTCTTTGACTGCTCTCCAATGCGACTCAATTCATTGTGTATGAGTCCCATCTTCAGCCACAAATGTATTGTCTGGTTCCGAGTAATTAACTTTTTTATGGGTGACCCGTTTCATTATATTATGCAATTTTTAGTTAGTGAAATTTATTTTTATCGTAATTAATTCAAAACACATTTTCGTAATTCATAAACAGTATAAAAGGTTCTAGCTTAACCCTGACAATCCTGCTAAACTGAAAACATAATAAAAATCAAGTACTCGATGTTACTTCATAATACTAGACCAAATTGACATGCGAGTATTTGCGTTTCGTTAACGCAATATTTATTGAAATTTATTTTTATGGTAATTAAGTCAAAACGCATTTCCGACATCCAAATACAGTGTAAAAGATTCATACTTAACCCTGACAAGCCTCCTAAACTGAAAACATAATTAAAATCAAGTACTGGACGCCTACTTCATAATACTAGAACAAATTGACATATTTGCGTTTCGTTAATACACAATTTTTATTGAAATTTATTTTTATCGTAATTAATTCAAAACGCATTTCCGACATCATTTTAACAGTGGTAGAGCCACGCGGCAGCTTTTGCTGTCGCACGGATGGGCCGGCTCGAACCGGGGTGGTACCACAACCTCACAGAAAACCAGCATGAAGTAGAGGTTTACCTCTGCGTTTCGCTTGGTGAGTGCAGGTGGCCGGAGGCCCTTTTTACTGTAAATGAGGCATTCCATCTTAGTACTCACGGGTGACAACGCATCTACATTTTGATTTGTAATAGAGGATAGATGTAGATGTCTATGGGCCGCAGCAACCACTTACCATCAGATGGACTGTGCTAGTTTGTCACCCTTATCCTATAAAAAAAAACATAAAAAAAAAGTGTAAAAGGTTCAAGCTTAACCCTAACAAGCCTCTTAAACTGAAAACATAATTAAAATCAAGTACGGGACGTCTATAGCCAACCCGATAACTCTATAAGACATAATCTCTACGAAACTTCACTGCTGCATTGGAAGATGTTTTTGAGCTTCTGGCCTCGAAAGGATACATTACTAAACAGGAAATCATATAGTCATTATGGCAGAATTGATAGAGGAACTGAGCATTACCACTATGATAAGGTTATCCAGCTCAATGACACTACTGACATCATTTATCTCTATCCTCACCAGATTGGTCTAAGATGACACGAACCAGCCAAAGGTCATGTCTAATTTCTATGTAACTCCTATGCCAATAGTTAACCCTTTCACTGTCTCGTTCACTACATATAGGTCATTGCTATTGTCTTACTATTGTGTTTGAAATCCGGACAGTGCAAGTGTTAACTTTTCTTAAAGTTGTTGATGAGTATGTTTACTACTGCGAGCTTTTATAATGAAGCTTAAATTCGGAATAAGAGTCAGAACCTTGATTTATGGTATTTCTTGGATGTAGTCTGGCCTATGTTCATCAGTAGACATGTGAGGGCTTTTATAATGATGATGATGAAATTTAATGTTGTGAAAGTAATGGTGCCTAATTAAAACATGGAATTTGGATGTTTGGATGCTAAAACATAGCCTACAGATATGCCACTAATATGTTTTCATCAAGTTATTTTTATATTGTGTATCTTTTGCTTATTATTTGTATTGTTATCAGTACATTTTATTGGGAAGATATTGAATTAACTGTTTGTTTCTTTTTTAATAATTATTAATGTATTGGTTCTATTATTAATCTTTACCATCTGTAATTACTAATTTATTACTTTCATACAATGTAATGTTGTTGTGTCATTGCATTGTTGTTTGCGCAAGTAGTTGAAGTGACACTTAGCCAAGATTCTTTTTTATTGAATTCCTCTATAATTTTATTATTATTAATATTACTAGCCTGAAATGTCCCACTGCAGGGCAAAGGCGCCCTATTCTCTTTCCACTTGTCTCTCTCCAGAGCCACCATAGACCAGTCTATAATGTTAGTTTTCATTTTGTTTGCAACAAATATATAAATAAATAAAACTAATGAGGCACTGTCAGTACACAGCAAGGTTAAATGAGCACTTAAAACAAATTTTAGTTAAAAGTACTAAGTGATGTTCTTATTTCATGTTTTTGTCTGTATATTTTTGCACTTGGGTTATTTCTCTAAAATCAAGTATTACATAGGTATATAATCTAACTAGTAGTGAAGGTACATAAACAATAACAATTTGCAAAGTTTAAATCATTCTAGCTAGAATCAGAGAGCTAGATCATTGATATTTTATATAAATATTATATTTAAAACAAAATATATGTAGGTATAAATATTGTATGAAGTTTATTTTACCTTACCTATAATATAATCATATTCCTGAAGTAAATTTCTATTGAAATTTGTTAGGAAAACATCACTATAGTAAATGACACATGTAAAAAGTAAAAATACATTTACCCCTACTGAGTAAATAAGAAATTGAATATAATAAGGAAACCACATTGTTTTTTTTATACACTAGTTTAGTTTTATAGGTTATATAGTCCAAAACAAACAATAATAGACTGGGAAAATATGACACATTTTTACTTCTTATCCGTCCAATAAGAATGTATGAAACAAATTACATTTTTATCATATTCCTTTAATTTTTGTGATAAGACCACTGGCTAAAAATAAAAACCTTTTCTCATTTTTCAATTTTCATCCATATATCTGTATCTGAAATTCTGAAAGTCACATGAGATGACATTGACAATGACATGACATTTAATGCTACATATTCATTAATCTGTGGCAAAGAGTAACTGTCCCAAGCTCCCAAGCTGTCCTATACGTAGACAGAGTTCTCTGTCTACGGTCTTACTCAGAAAATCTGTGGACCCGTGGAATTATTTGTTAATTATTGAATATTTTTAAGAATTTGTACGCAGGCAAATTGAAGCAGCCCAAGGTCAATTTTTTTTTCGCTTGTTGGAGTAAACAATAATCATTTTTCAAAGAGCTATGACTATTAAAAATATAAGAAAATGGAAAATTCTATTTTGATTTTCCTGTGAAAACGAAAAACGGGCTTATAAAATAATTAACGTAGGTCGAAAGGGCAGATCTTAAATCTATAAAAGGAGATTTTTTTATTTTGTAATTTTAATGTTTGTAGCACAGAGTACATTATATATAGGGAAGTTTGTAGGCCGGAACGTAAATGTATGTTCCGACACCACTGACACTGACATTTATAATTTATATATATACTCGTATAGTTGTAGATCGTAGTCTTTTCTTTTTTTTTTTTAGAGTTTTGGCGGGAAATTGACCGGCGGCGGTTTGCTGCTCCTGTATTATTGCTTAAATAATGGTTTGAAGTGGACTTTGATATGTAAAAGTGTTGCGATTTTGTGTATTAAGTGTCTACGCATGTGAACTATTAGTGGAAACAGTGAAACAAGTGCTCTGATGGTGATGGATTCTCAAGATAAGCTGTTTTTTTGCATAGGCACCTTTAGATACCATCGCCAACTATCAGCTGTCTGCTGGATCAAGTTGCCGCCAAAATCTCCCAAGAACTGCACAATGTGACGCATCAACATATTGTGAAGCAGTATACTATGAAGGAGTGGGGAAATTACAATAAACCGAATAAAAATACTTAAGACTTGGCCTAAAGGTCTAGATACCAGGCCATAAACTCCAAAAAAAAAAGTCTTTTCTTTATACCAATTTAAGTTTATTGTTCACATTTGCAATTATTAGCTATAGCCCCATTTTGCAAGCGAAAATAGCTTTATTCCACAAACAGAAAGCTTTTGGTAATAATATATATTTTTTATGATTTCTAATGATTGGAAACTGTTCTTTTTTAAAAAAAAATCCTTCTGGGTTACTTGCTGGTTATTTAAGAAACAGAGGTATTTTCCGAATCAGTGGTAAACTTACGCACGAGTGACTTTCAATAAGTATTACCTTATTCTAATACATAAAAATTAATTTTGTTTATTCGTATTTTATGCGCTGCCATACCGTTAATCAGATTGCGCTTATTGCTTGCACCTGCGCGAAGGTAATAGGCATAGTACAATTAAATTGCAGTAGGTGGCGCGCGTGTCGTACACGAACTTATTTATTTCAATGTCATAATATGTCATTCAACTTCATACAACTTGCTGCTACAATGGTGACTTTAATTTAACACACGGGTAGAGCTAGTGCCCACTAATCATATTAATCTTGATAGGTTAAAATAACTTGTAAATTTAAAAAATATTTTTTTTCAAACAAACATAATTATAAAAAAGTAACTGAAATTGAGAACATCCTTGCAAAATTTCATTCATGAAATTACTTACCTAGCAGGCTTACGTTAACTCAGAGCGGCAACGCGTCGCTTCGCGCGCTGGCAACCAAGCAACGCGTCCTATACCTACTCGTAATCAGTCCGATTCTTTGACGGCTTATTATCAAAGAAACCGGGCGGCGCCGGAGAGTACCTACGGCGGAGGTGCTTAGTCAAACACTTATCATATCACCATCTCTTGTTACTATTAGTTATAACTGTCATCACTAATCCCTGCTTTTATTTGTCTTTATTTAAAATTTTCTTATTTTCAATGAGACCACGGTGTGTGTGTGCGTGTGACCTAGGGCATGCAATTATCGAAAACTTTCGATAATCGATAATCCGACTTTTATCGGGTTTCTTTTTCGATGAAAACCGACAATTACCGATTTACATAAAAAAAACATGTTTCTTAGAAATCGCTTTCTTTGTGCAATATAAAATATTATTGTTTTTATAATTATAATTAACATTTTTGGTTTGAATAGGAATCAATTATCCATCAGTCGTTTCATTTAGCATAATAAGTAGGTACATTATATACACACCTAACCTATTTACTATTTATTTGTTGTTGGAAATAAGTGCGAAGAAACGACAAGCAATTTACAGTTTTGTCGCTAAGGCTTGTGCGCAGTTTATTACATAGTATTCCAGACGCAGAAAAAGAACGTTACCTTTCTACACATATTGGCTTAAGGTTTTAACTAGCCTGAATGACCTTGACGAAACGGCGATCGCAGAGATTTTAGCCGACGTCAACACCGTCTAGCAACTACGTTCTGTATTACTTATAAAAGTGCAAAGATTAATAGACTGCAGAGATGACAATTATATAAGTGACATACTGCCTGTTATGCTTGCGCATCACTGAGAATTATGTCGCGGTTACGCGTCTTCAATTACATTGTGCTGTAGCTTCTTCCGGTAGGCGTCACGAGCTATCAAGAGTTCAAGTTTCAAGTACGTAAGAGTTTTTTATTATATATGTTAAATCGTATTTATTTGTGTCGTATTAGTAGATCAGATGGGGCTGAGCTGTAGCTACTACCGGGGTCCATAGGTGGCGGATCATGGAACGGCTTGGAGATATCCTTGCTACCTGCATTGCAGTCCCCGACCATTCAGCGACAAGGTACTAGGATGCAGTGGTTATTCCTAAGGAAAGAATAGCTTATAAAATGCTGCAATATCCGATGATGTCCTTGTGACCTGGCGTTTCGTGCCGCCAGTAAATAAGCACTCCTCTGTTATGGGCAGCTGCGTAACAGTATTTTCAGAAGAGGAAGTCTAGTTGGCTGGAACTGTTATGGAAAAGGAAGCTATTGACGGAGATGGTGTGCATCGGTTCGGTAATAGTACAGCGTGTGGAAGGCAACGGGAAACCACCACATATACTTCCCCAGGAAGATCATTATGGCTGAGAACAATATAAAAATGGCCCTCAGTCCCCGGCAGACCTTAGATGGTCAGAGGGTGCGAAGAATCTCTGGGTCAGCCATGACGATTGCTACGTGGAACGTCAAGAGTATGTACCGCACATATAAAATGGTGAATAAGAACGGGAGATGCTCAGACTTAAGATAAATATCCTTGGAGTGAGCGAGTCTAGGCACCAGGGAACTGGAATCTTGGTACGGGATGACACAGTAGTATATTATAGCGCTAATAATGATAAAAATCACTACAACGGTGTGGCCGTCATCATCAGCAGACATTTACATCATCAGGTCCACAGTTTCCTGCCCATATCGGACAGAGTTTTAGTTTTAGAGTTAAAAGCAAAACCCAGAAATATTCAAATAGTCCAGGTGTATGCACCTACTACCGATGCTACCGATGAGGATAATGAACTCTTTTATGAACAAGTAGAAACCGCTCTTAAACATCTTATTCCACATAACATTATCCTCGTCCAAGGTGATTTTAAAGCAAAAATCGGAGAGGGCAAAGTCTCGGACATCGTTGGTTCATTCGGACTGGGAAAAAGAAACGATCGCGGTGACCGCCTTTTACAATTCTGCGAAGAACACGGGCTTATAATTTCAAACACCCACTTTAAGCAACCTCCAAGAAGATTGTATACGTGGACGTCACCATTACATTCGCTGAAGAAGATCGTCCGTAATCAAATAGATTACATACTTATAAACAGAAGATATCGCAACAGTTTAACATCAGTCAAAACGTGCCCAGGCGCCGATATTGGTTCTGATCACAATCCGGTTGTTGCATCCCTCCGCTGTAATATGAAAATTCTAAAACCTAAATCAAAATGACAACAAATGGGTGTGACTAGCCTTAAAGAACCGGATATACGGCTTAAAGCAGCCACGGAAATAAATATGGCTGTTGACCGTTTGAACAAAGAGCTTGGTTCAAATGTTGACGTAGAAGAGACATGGACTAAATTAAAGGTAAATCTTGTTGATATTGGTAAAAGAATCCTCCAACCATTAAACTATGAAACAAAAAATCGCTGGATCACGCAGGAGATCCTAAACTTAATAGAACAGCGTAGAACATACAAAGGAGTAGACAATCAACAATACAAAACCATACACAAGATAATCCAAAGAAAAGTAGTTGAAGCAGAAGAAAAATGGATGGTTGACCAATGTATTGCGATAGAAGAGTTTGAGGCCAGATATGATTATTTTAATGTGCATAAGAAAATCAGAGAAATAACCGGTGCTGTTAAAACACAAAACATGAACTGCAACGTATTACTGGATGATCAGGGAAATCCTGCCAAAACAATTGAAGATAAACTTAATGTTTGGCAGAAATACATAACAACACTATTTCATGACGTTAGACCTGCTCTGGAATCAAGTTCATGTGGAAGTGAATTGTCTGGACCACCTATTAATAAAAGCGCAATTGCTTATGCCATTAACATGTCCAAATCAGGGAAATCTGTAGGCGGAGATGAATTACCCGTGGAACTGTTTAAAGTACTTGAGTGTGCTAACTTAGGAATAATAGTAAAGTTATTCAACACTATATATGATTCGGGCGTCATACCATCGGATTGGCTCAAATCCACCTTTGTCACCTTGCCCAAAGTTGCTTCTGCGAAGAAATGCAGCGAATATAGAACAATCTCCTTAATGAGTCATATCCTAAAATTATTCCTTAAAGTAATTCATAAAAGAATTTATAG